AACTTTTCTCACATGATGTGCAAATCATGAAAAACATAATATTATAATATAAAACTTGAATGGCTTTTTCAATTAGCGAGAAAATGACCTTATTTGCTGTCACAATATAGTACAAAGTACTACTAGTAGTACACCTAAATCCTATCCATTAAATAATGATATATTAAATAAATATCTTAATGCATTTGATAAAGATATAAATGTTTTTATTTATTAGAAAATAACATTTTTATATTCATATTAGATGCTTCTTGTTTAAATAGTATATGATTATTTAATAATTTAAGCAACTAGTATAACTAGTAAGCATATTGTTTCAATTACTAAACATATTATAAGTAAAATACAAAATTATATAGATGCAGAAAAAGCATATACAACCTTTGTCTTAAAATATAATATAAAACAAGAATAATTAATAACTAAAATAGTAATAGAAATCAGTTTTTTTTTTTTATCTTTACTTTTCTTTGCTATCTTGAAGATTTTTAAACACTTTTAGAATCTGTCACATCTTTTAAAGACTAGAGTTATTATTTTGTAAAGATCATCAAATGATGTATAGCCCTGTATGTCACCAAACTGTGAAATAACTCATACTCTATTAAGTCTATCATATGATGTTTTAGATTTTTGATTTTGCAGTATAGGACCTACTATCTTCTTTAGTCTGAAATTTCCTAACTTTACATAACCCATCAGCTAAATAATCTGTAAATTTTAATATTTTTAATTCTATATGTTCTTAAATTAGACTCTCTCAATATTAATATTATTTGATAACAAATTGTATCTTATTTGGTTGTTTTCAACTCTGTAACTATGTCAGTCACTAATTCTTTTTTGTATGAATCTTGTTTTTGTTTTTTAAATAAAAATCCTTTGCAAATCTTTTTTAATTATGGTCCTAACAGAGTTTTGATACTTTTTGAACTTGAACTTATGATTTTGTAATTAAGACCTAGGAGTGCTACCTACTATGCTATCAATTCACAGGTCTGAAATCAGTTTTTTTTAACAAGTTTTTTTAGTTAAACTTTTTAATAAATATAAAACACTAACTAATTTTTTTTGTATATTTTTATTTTATAAATAACAACTTTTTTTGATAATTTTAGACTATAAACACATTAATTTTTTTACTATTTTAGTTAGATAATAAGTTTTGCAGCTAGTTTTTTCTAATTAATATGTTTTATTTTATTGCATAATTCTATATATCTGTTTGTGCATTTATTTAACAATTTTGTTAATTTGAAAATAAAATTATTTAGTTTATTTAATATAATATAATAATATTAATATTAATAAATTTAAATAAAAGAGTTATTATTGCTTTATAAATAATGCTAATGTTTACTTTTGAGCATTAAAAAATATATATTAATAATATAAATATGATTGGTTGGTTTAATGAAGTCAATAGATCCAATAAAGCCAATAGATACTATTTTATTCACTCTATTGACTTAATTGATAATTTTTTCAATGAACTTTATCCATTGCCAACTCTGCCTTGACTCTAGTGCTAATTTTGGTTATTGTTGTGCAAATAAATCTTTTTCTTTATATAAGGCATTGGGACCAACCTAACACTAGAGTGATCATAAAATCAGTAAATCAAATGATAGTCCTAACCATATATAAAATTTATTATATAAGGATTTTTTACAAATTTTTTTAACAATTTTGGAAATTTCAGAAAATTAACTTTTCAATTTATTTATCTAACAATTTATTTTTTTTCTTTATTAAACATATAATTAAACAGTTTATCTGCTTCTATTTCATCAAACATTGCTTGTTTTTCAATATCTTGCTTACTAAATTTTCTTTTATTTCTTCTTTGAACAGCTAAATCTTCATTGAATAGAGATATTTGTTTGACACCTATAAGACATGACATTGCTTTTTTAGTTTCAAGATTCATATGCAAATGATATTTAAGATCATACTTGTTGAATAAACCCTCGACCTGTTGTTGATAAATAACAATATAATAAATTTGACATTTAACGAATTCATATAACAAAGGAAAAGAATGAATTGGATTAATAGAATTGGCAAAATTGAATAACTCTTGCATAAACAATAGGTTTTTCATTGCTTTTGACAAATCAAAATTATTAGAATTGGGGTTTTCAATGTCTGATTTCAAAAGAGTTACATAACATAATTCTTTAAGACTAGAAACTTCTTTTTGTAGTTTTTATAACTTTATATGAAAATAGCTTTTAGTGAATTTATAACTATCTTTACTACCTAATCGGTATACACTTAATAAAAGATAAAGCCACATATTCATCCAATTGTCTAAAGAATTTATAGCTTTGTCAATGCCTAATTCTAAATTATTAAAAAATTGTCCAAAGTTTTTATCATCTAAAACATTAACAGCATCTCATAAATCTGTATCAAAAAGATGATAGCTCATAAGAAGCGAACAACCTGATAGACCAATTTGGAAGTTGTTTAAATAGGTTGTGAGACATGAGAAGAATATGCAAGTTATCTAATATAGATAGATGTGAAACAAAAATCCAAATTATATGTAAGTAGAATACAAGATTAGCTCTGATAGGTTTAGATTACAGATAAATTAGTCTGAGTCTTATTTCTTAATTAGACATATAGTAATAGATAATGTATAATGTAAAAAGTTGTACAAACTGTAATAATATGTTTGAATAAGCAGACTTGAGACATAACCTTATTTTAATTTCAAAAAAAAATAAATAAATCTGTATCAAAAATTAACAAACATTATCTCTAATACTATATAAATTTCTTATCTATTTAATAAACATATTAGGCATCTTATGGGCTCATTGACTAAATAAAAGTAATAATAATCTGCTATCAGGTTGAAGATTCTGTGGTTCTTTGTTCAAATTCAATAAAAAAATTTATCATCGGTTTATAAATTCTTTCTTTAAATTTTGCAAGACATTTAACTTGTATTTTTAGATACAGATTCATAAGCCATTATCAAAGAAGTTTCCACTTTTCAAAATATGTTTTTGAAATTTTTTTTTGTATTTTTAAATTGTTCAAAAACTAGAAAGCAAAATTTTCTAAATAGAATCTTCTTTCTACCAGTTGTCTTGTGACTTGTAATTCATACAACTATCACTATTGTAGGGTTTTTGAAAATTAGTTAGTTGAATACTAAAAAGTTTAAAGTATAGATTGAAAATATAGGAATACTTCATATTCATTGGATTATCCTTATTATTTTCATTATAATCATTATATAACTTTCAAATAAGGTAAAATAAATGAATGGATGTTTTTGAGTTGAAAATTCTTTTTCAACTTTTAATTTTCCAAAAGCAGCATTTTCAAAATTTGTCATTACTATGTATACTGCATGAAGTCTACAAAAAATTTGAAATGAGCTTAAGTTAACTTCTTTGTTAAATAATATTACAGCACTATTTCTATAGCCTAACATATATGCTGTGTTATCAGTTGTCCATATTAAATATTTAGTTGAATCTAACTAATATTGGTTACAAGCTTTAATAACAAAATTTGCAACTGATGCTCCCGAACATTGAGCTAAGTCTTCAAGCTCTAATAAGGTAACTTTTAGTTTATTAACATTTAAATCTCAATACATAAAGTATATAACAAAAATTTTTTTATCACTATATATTGATTCGTCAACCATAATTCTGAAACATTTAGAAGTTTTTGTAATAGCACATTGTTGGATTATATGAATATTTGAAATGTCTTTATGTCATCCAACAAGTGTGCTAACAGAAAACCATTTATCTGATTCTTTGTTTATTAACTACTCGATTACTTTTTTTGTGCAAGTTATGACAGATCGATAAGACATTTCACCAATTTTACAAACTTGTGTAACTATTAAAACAGTTCTAGCACTGTACTGTTTTTTATTTATCATAAGTCAATCTTGAATAACTAATTTTAGTTGCTTATTAGTAATTGTAAGCTTTTTACGTGTTGTGAATTGGGCTAAAGAAATCTTTTTTTTATGTATTCACTTGTATTTTCTAATTTTATTTTGTAAAGATTTAGTTTTTTTGTTAAACAATTAATTTTTTGACTTGATGGTTTTCTAGATTTCATAAGACACTTTTTTTGGATGATATAATGATTCTTCAATAAAATTATAAGCCTTTTGTTGTAGATACTTTGAGAAAATCTTTCCTGTTTTAGGTCCTTTATTATATCTCATAAGGTTTATCAGAAAAACTTCAAGACTCAACTCATTATCATCCATATTTATTGCCATATTTAATAATAAATCCCATGGTTCTAAATATTGTTGTTGATGAAATTGCTCTTGTGAAACTTTTTTGATTATATTTATAAATATTGTTAAAAATGAATCTGGTAAATCTATTGTGTATTCTAAAAGTCTATTGACTTTTTGTTATCTAATATCTATTTCTATATTTGACAATCATGAACTTACTGATATATTTGATATATAATTGTAGTTACTATTACTTGTATTTTCAATTACGCTATTATGACTACTATCTAATATATTTGATATATCTTTATAGCCACTATCAATTACACCATTATGACTATCACTTGTACTTTCAATATTAACAACACTGCCACTTATACTTTCAATAATATTTTTGACAACTTTATTTTCTTTTTTATAAAATTTTCGTTGTTAAGTGCATTTTTCAAATACTGCCATTGTTTGAAATTTTTTTTAGACCGTGGCATTGTTTTAAATCACAACAAAAAATTTTTAATATGACTTGTAAAGATCCCTTTTTTGAGTTAAGGATACAAAATTTTTATATCATGTTTTTTTTTAATTTGTAGCTTTTATCTTGTTGACAATGATCTTGGTTTATGAATTTTAATTGACACATTGTTTATTACAATTGAGTAAAACTTGTTTACATTGTCAAAGAATTCACTACTCATAAAGGGAATAAACTGAAAAAATACCTTCATTAAATTATTCTAAGAAAATTAATATGTCTTTTTAAAAAAAATTCAACTGCCAATTATTACATTAGTTCGAAAGAAAACTGTACCGAAAGTCACTATTAGCTGCAGTAAATTCGGATTTTCATAAAAAATCTCTAAATAGTAATTAGTGCATATTACACTACTTATGGTTTGATTTTATTAGTTTGATGATCACCCTAACCTGACACGTATACTTCATGTACAATCAAATTAGATCTATTAACGCTAAGGTACAATTGTACATAACTCAAGATGATTACTCTTCAAGATATTAATAAATTTATTAACACCATAGACTATCTAGTCTTATTCATCTCAATCGTCATTATCTATATCTTTAACTTTTATTATAAATATTTAACTCGTTCTAATCCACTTCCTAGCCAACTACCTTTACCATTCATCGGAAATCTTCATAATTTTTGGTTTGATATTCAACTATTTTATAAACAATGTCAAAAGAAATATGGTGATATCAGTGAAGTGATGCTTGATCGCAGATATATCATTCTCTCACGTCCAGAATATATTGAAAAGTTTTATGATCGTAAATTATTTTTCATGAAACTCCCATATTCTCAAGGTTTAGAGGAAATTGGAATGTATGGACATGGAATCGCATTTAATGATAATTATGAAAGTTGGAAGCAAAATAAGAAATTCTTTACAGATACATTTGTGGCACAGAGATTTATGGATAATGTGGTGAAACTTACAAATGAATTATATGAAGAATTAAGCAAGTATTGGCAATCACTTGGAAAACAAAAATATTTCAAATAGTAGTAATGATTATTGGACATTAGAAACTGATTTTACTGCATGGTTTCATGGATTTACAAATGATATTGTTTCAAAGATAATCACTGGAGAACGCACGTATTCAACTGCGTCCTATTACAACACACAAAGTCTTAACAAATCTGAATACTCTGATGCACTAGTCGAGGATGTGAACAAATTTGTCAAATCAAACATAAAATATCTTGAATGTCTCACGTTCTTTGCATTTTTTGACCCATTCGTAAGGCATTACATTCCAATATTCAAAAACAAGTCAAGTGCTTACTTAAAGAATCGTGATTATTTATTTGAAAAATTGGATAACATAATTAAGAAGAGAAGAAAAGAGGTTGAAGAAATGTCAGTAAATATAGAAATGAGAATTGATATGCTTACTTCCTTAATCATGGCAAACATGAATGTGAAAGCTTCAAATAACGAAGTGTTAAAACCAATGACTGATGAAGATATCAGAGGTAATTTGTTAGATGCTTTCTTGGGAGGAACGGACACTGTGAGTATTGTTTTATAATTAATAATTTTACTTGTTATTTACTTATGTGTTATTTACTTATTTATTATTTATTTATTTATTATTTACTCATTTATTTATTTCTGTATTTATAATTTGTATTTAATATACTTAGACTGCAAATGTATTTTGTTTCATAACTTACTATATTTGCAAATATCCACATGTAAAGCAAAAAATGCTTTCAGAAATTGATAATATTTTGCCTAAATCTTCTGAGAAATCTTATATATCATACAACGATCTCCAAAAACTAAAATACTGTGAAGCGATAATTAAAGAAGTTTCGCGTATGATACCAGTTGGTCCTGTTACATTTCGCACTGTTACTGAAGAAATCGAAATTGCAGGATATAAATGGCCTCCTGGAACACATTTTATTTTGAATTTGGTAGCAGTACATGGTCATCCTGAATTTTGGCCTGACCCAGAAATTTTCAATCCAGATAGGTTTTATAGTTCTGATAATGATGATCAAAATGATAAAAGATTTGACAACAAATCTGCCTTTATGATGTTTGGTGGAGGTAGTCGAATATGTCCTGGAAGAAAATTGGCAATGGTTGAGTTACTTTTATTAATGGCGTTAGTATATAAGAATTATAATGTTGAATTGGTAAATGTGCATGAACCTTTAAAAATTCTTACTCGCATTGGTTCGAAATGTAAGAAGCTTAAAGTTAGGATTAGTCCCCGAACTTGATTTATTAATTTAGTTTTAGGATTTTCTGTAATTTTGTACTTAAAAATCATATAAACAATAAAAGTATACGTAGTACAAAAACATTACAGAAAATAGTAGTTATAAGTAACAATCCTAAAAATATCAAAAAATGAATTTTATCATTTGCGCATATGCGCAGGCGGAATTTTATGGAAGCCTGGAATTCTTCGGAATGTCGCAGAATTTAACAATTTTGGCCCGCATTAGCCATAATGCAGGCTGCGCAGCCTGCGCAGTAGATTCGAAAAATCCTCGATTTTCCCATCTCTAGTTGTAACGCATCTGTAAGATCAGGTGTATGTGAAATCAAAACAAACCAATTAACGCATTAATTTAGTTAAGGGCAGTGTTAAGACAGGTCAGGATTATGTAATAGTAAAAATGATTCTTATATCAAAATTTTGCAAGGGAAAATTTTTTATTAGAACGTGAAAAGTGGTTCCATAAGCAAAATCAGTATTTTCTTTCAATTTCACGTTACACCTGATCTTACGGTCTGATTGGTTGATCAGGTGGGTGCATTACAATGCACATGCGCTAAATTGCATAAACCTCAAAAAATATAATTTCTGAAAAACTTTAGTATAGAACATATATAAACCTAAAAAAGGAACATAATATCTAAAATAATTTGAGATAGATGCAGTAATTTAGTTGCAGAATGTTCAACTTTTTTATTATAAATAATGCAAAATTTATGAATTTTGGTGCATAGATTTTAGCAGATTTTATAATCTTTAAAGTACAAAAATTGTAGAATTTAATTATCACAAATGAAATTAACAATTTATTACTACAAAAATTATCATTTCTGAATCAGAGGTAATGTAAAATTTGTTTGTATTTTTTAAAAATTACCAACAACTTAAAATTTGTCTAAAAACCATCCTTAATGTTTTAATAAAACATTTCTTACAAAATATTACTATAATCTTTACACTTTCTAACTCTAAAATAATTCTAATTTTAATTTAAAATTAAAGCAAATTTATAGCAAATAGAGAATGTTTATAATTCAACATGGTTGTATTACAATAGAAAATGAGTAAATTATGTCTGAAGCCATATCTAATTACATATTAATCTATATACGTATTGCATAAACCGTAATTCTTGATATTTTATCAAAAAAAAGTAACTTCTAACCAGACATAGCTTTCAATCATGTAACATAAATTTTATTTATTTAATCTGATTGAAAGTCAACTTTTTGGTTTAATAGTTTTTCATTAATTTCTGATTTCTTAAGGTTATTATTATAAAAATTTTTATTATAATTTTATTATTTTGTTAAATAATTAGTAAGAAAAACTTCTTAATTCCACTCTCATTGAATAATTGGGGTCCAAAAAATTGAGTGGGAACTCAATACTTTTTTTAAATGTGCAGTCTATCTTGTTCGACATCACATTTTTCTTTATGATATCAATTAAAAGCTTTTGATTTCTTTTTAAATTACTGGTAATTGAATATTAAAATCACAAATTTTGTCTAATACTTCTTCTAATTCCGTTTCCAAGTTGGTTCCGCATTCGTTATTTACAATTAAGTTGACCATAATTTTTTTTACTAGTCAATTGTTTTAATAAATTTTTTAAAACTTTTTTTACACAAACAATATAATGATCAGTGATGTAAATTGGGTTCGCGCAGTAGGCGTATAAATTTTTTTTTTTGTGCACATTTTTTTGCATTTGTGCTAATAAAAAATTTTAAAATTAATAACACTGATAACGATTATCGGTATACTTTTAAATATTTAATTATTTTAATTCTAACCAATTTTTTAGTACATGTTCATAATATTAGTACACGTTTTTCTTGGCTTCGGGGTTCAAAATTTGAACTGCTGGATTATAAATTAATTTTATGTTTTATCATTATTGCCAAGTATGTGAATTCATAAAAGTTGAAGTTTTTTTTTCAATCTTAAATTTTGAAACATCAGTTGTAGCAATTACGTGCCCGAGATTTTTGTTGATATATTGAGAGTTATAGACTATTGGTTTCGCACCGGACAACTGTGAGCGATTTGACCCACCAGAAGAATGCTATTTTATATTTCAATTTTTTTTTTCATCAGTTTCTGTGTGCAGTTGCGAAGCAGTGTACGTTTTGTAAGTTAATTCGAGTCTAATAGAAAACCTATCTGATACGGTGTATTAGGGGCCTGCAAATTGCCTATTTTTGAGGCCCGGCCCGGCCCGCAATTTGGGTTGAAAATTTTTTTTAGGCCCGGCCCGGCCCGCATTTAGGGTTACCATTTTTTTTGCCGGCCCGGCCCGGCCCGCATATGTTAAATTTTTTCTTCAGCCCGGCCCGACCCGGCCCGGCCCGCAAAAATTTCTTATATAATTTTACAAATTTTTAGGCCCGCACTGGCCCGCAATTATAAAGTTTTGCAAAATTTTCGGCCCGGCCCGGCCCGCAATTATAAAATTTTGCTTCAGGCCCGGCCCGGGCCGGGCTGCGGGACCCAACGCAGGCCTCTACGGTGTATACATTGGATTGTAAACTGAAACATAGCGTTTTGATCAAACCATAAGGTTACATATGAGGATTTTTTATTGGGTTTTCGGAAAGTTCTGAAAATTAAATGCATAAATGTACACTTTTTGAGCGAAAGATATCTATTTTTTTTACCTTTTTTTTTTAATCGATAGCTTTCATTATGCTTTTTTAAACAATAGATTCCTTTTACAAATTTCCATAGCTTTATGTTCGTCAAATTTAGATAAAGTTCATTCACATTTTTTAAAGAATTTACTACTTATCTGTTATAAAATAGAATAAATCTAAAAAATGCCTCTATTACGTTAGATTGTACAAATTGTTCTATCTTTTATAAACTACTAATTATTATACTAGTTCGAAAGAACATTTTACCGAAAGTTATTATTATCCGATTTGAATCTTAAAAAAATTTCATATGCGACGATACATTTTATAGGATCTAGATCCTGTATCAGATCCTGAATTGAGTGTTGTCGGTTTTTGTTCTATTGATAAAAATATGTCCTATTCTAGTTCTATTATTCTATTCATTCATTGATTGCTGCTAATACTAATTATAATAGGAGAGGGTGAAACCCGCGCTGTAAATTAGTAAAACCCGCTACGTAGATCATGTTAGGGTGAAATCCGCGTTTAGCTAGCTAATTCACAACACGGTTTCACCCTGTCGTATTATAATTAGTAGTTGACACAATTTAATTCTATTGCTCTATTCTATTGTTCTGTTGTTCTGTTCGTCTGTTGCAGACATTTAGAAAGTCAAAGGTAGCTGCTTTTTACGTCACTTTTACGTCATATAATATACGTCAATAATATGTTATTATGTCTGCAGCTTTAGTTATAGGTAATGCATGTGGACCTATTTTTAGAGTTTTTTTTTATGGTTAAGTTAGTGTTTAGGATAATTAAAGAGTATATGTGGATTTTAGCAGTGCTTATATTTTCAAATCACTACCCCAAATTTCAGCATTAGTCGCGATAATATAATTCAATTCAGGATCTAATTCCTATCAAATGTATTGTGATTTAAGGATCGAGTACTTTGCCGATTCTTAAAAGGATCCGTTCCCAAAGGACCGATTAACGTCCCTAGTATAAGTCCAATTCAAATCACTGGTGCCAACAAGTAAGACTTTTTTAAGCATTTCTAAAATGGGAAAATTTTTAAATAAGAGACATGGGACAGATGAAACTCGATCTCATTTTTCAGAAAAATGCATTTTTTTTCACACACAATTATAATTTTTCTAATAAGTTGTAATTAAAATTTTCACTCGATTTACATCCTAAACGTGCATTTATATGTTTAAATGAGAGGGAGAGGCATGATACAGATGAAACTCCATCTGGTTCTCCCAAAAACGTATTTTTTTTCACATACAATTATAACTTTCTCTAATAAGTAGAAATTAAAATTTTTACTCGATTTATTTCTTCCTAATCGTACATGTTTATGAAATGATTTCCATTGAATTAAATATATATAATATATATGACTTCCTTATTTTTTATGTAATCTAAATTAAATTGCAATCATTCAAATCTAAAAATTCCACGAAAAAACAACGAGACATCTTATTATGGACTTGATAATCTCTGGGAAAAGACTTCCGCTAGTAAATAATCATATTCTTAATTAAGGATTAAGGAAAAAGACGAATTTAAAATTTTGTTGTGAAAATCAGGAAGTTGCTGTGTACTTTCATGTGCAAGGAGATAATTATAACGATAATACCGACATAACTTTATTTTAATGTCAGCCAAAATGATTTTTAAAGTTGGCCTGCTTTAAATCTTGCATGAGGGTCAGGTTTAGCTTGCGTAAAATAATCTCCCAAATTAGATCGTCTAAAAAGTGGTGTAGCATTACATGTGATATAAAACCAATCAGATTATAAACTCAAGTCAGCCGATGATAAAAAACGACAAAACGGTATGTCGGGGAGGTAATTTTACTAATTCAATAAAATATTATGCATACTTATCAATTCAGTAATTATAATAAAGTTTTTTGATTAGGGGATGCCTAAAACGGTGTAGGCACATAACTGCTGCATCTCTAATATCTCTAATTAACATTAACTTTATCTGGATAGATAAGTTTATTTATCATCTTATCTATATCGCTTAGATAATGTAGTACAATAAATAAAAGATTTGACAAGTTATCTCTCGTAAATCATATCATATTGATTCTTGGTCTATTCCGTTCATCTTCAAGTCACTGGAAACGAAACGCATTTTCTTTTCCGGTTTTCTAATTGTTACTTCAAAAGAGTTTCTCATGTGAACTTTCTCATGAACTTTTTCTTGTGACAAATCACTGTCCAAAAAGAAATGTAACAATATAATTTTGCAGGGATAGAACTTTATCGTTAAATTTCACATTTCTGAATCTTTTTAGTCGATATTGCTTTTGATTCTTAATTATTTTGATTGATCGAATTGATCATTTTGTTTTTTTTTTAAAATGATCACTTAATTGATTAATTTCTCAAAAAAATTCTTTTGCTTTTATCGTTTTTTATGTTTTTTTTTTGCATAGCATGTTTTTCTTAAAGTTATAAATACAATGGCCTTTTCCCTTCGTTTTTCCTCACAATTGCAACAGCAGTTGTAAAAGATTCTATATATATAGTTTTTTTTCTCCTTCCAATATTAATACTCGTTCTCCACCCATTCTTTTCTTAAATTCATCAATCATGAATAATCCAAATCTTAATAACGAAGCAACTAACGTTCATCATAAGATCGCTATTTGTTCAACTGATCGCTGGTTTGGTAATGTTATCGCTAGAAGTCTTATTTTGGACAGCGGTAAACGTAGTTCCATCACGGTCCGTTGTTTGGCTCAAGATGTCAATAACAAACATATAAAGAAACTTGAGCGCCTAGGTGGTGAAATTCATAAAATCGATTATGACCGTCCTGAAACAATTAGAGAAGCTTTACATGGTGTTTGTTACTTGATCTTTATTAGTGAAGCTGATAAAAATCGTGTCAAAGAAGCTAAGATCATGGCTGATGTATGTTAATGAAATAATTTTCTTTTGATTATCCCTTTTTGATGTGATCACAAATTTTTTATCTTTTTTTTAGTCTGCCGCTAATAAGGATGTTGATAATGTGATTATCTTATCGATGGAAGGTGCCGAAGATGGTGATGGCAAGATTTTGCACGATTTTAAGGAAATAGAAAGGGAAGTATGCCAAAGGGTGAGACATCCTGTTGTGCTTAGGTAAATATAATTTGTTATCTATCACAAGCTCTATGATTCTTTTTCACGTAGTTAGTTGATCTAATCATTATTCTTCTTCCTAGAAATTCTTTCCTTCAACAAGCTGTAAGCATTATGTTTATATTGTTTAAAAACCAATGACTACTTTTACATGTGTATATATGTATATGTGTTCTAATAACTTTTTTATTTTACTAGTTCTTCCTTTGGTCTCCAAATATTGAAGATAGAGGGGAAATTAATATGACTCCTCGTGAAAGTAACGAATGGGCTCCTCTTAATATCGACGACCTTATTTGTGCGATCGAATGCTTAATGATGGCAGATGGAAAGGTGGTAACCGAACTTAGCAAAAAACATCGAGGCAAAACCTATTGTTTAACTGGTCCTGAACTTATAAGTGGCCGTAAAATTGCTGATACTATTAATCGTGTTATTGAAGAAAAAGGTGATGTCGATTACCACACCGTTAGTCGTCGTCAACTTGAAGATTACCTTAGCCACCTTGATGAAGATGATCTCGATCGTGACCGTGATCGTAGTCGAAATCGCGATCGTGACCAAGATCGTGATACTGTTGATGATATTCTTCTTGAACAACGTGATGGCATTTATTTGATTCAACGTGGTTTAGCCTTTTTACACGAGTGTCTTGCTGATTTCTTTAGAAATACTCAACAATCTTTGGAGAATGGAAAATCTAACTTTATTGAAGGTGTCAATAGACTTATTTCTGCTACAACTTTATTCGAAGAAGTTGATCGTCAAACCTCCTGCAGAAATCAATATGGAAATCAATATGCTCCTAATAGAAATGCTCTTGCTTTGCAAGACAGAATTACCGGTCAAAGCCGATTCAAAGATGTTCAAGAAGAAAGATTTAATAGGAACATTGCGGCTTTTGTTAATACAATGCGAGATATCATTGCGAGATTGAAGAACATTGATATTGAAAGATTTGAATTAGATGCTCAAGAACGATTATTCATTTTATCCAACATCAAGGATGCCGTCGAGGTCATAGAAAATGTTCAGAGGAGTCTTGATGTTGTTCCATTCTTGCTCGATGAACGTCGTCGTCGAGATCGTCATCCTAGACCTTTCTTACCTTTATCCAAGTATGAAATTGAGTTGATGTAAGTATACATTTAATAATATAAAAAATTATTATGTAATTCTATAACTCATTAATTTATTTTTTTTAAAAAAAAATATAGCCTTGATGTATTGGATTATGTCAAAGAAGGTAAAGCTGATCGAGTATCTGATGATTACAAGAGAATTACCGGCAAAAAACCCACTCGAATTAAGTCGTTCTTCGAAGTATGTTTTAATTTATTTATATTCTCTAGTGTCAATTATTCATATAACTTTACAGATAAATTACAAAATTTATTTCTTATTATAAATAATAGGACAATGCTGAATCATTCCGCCCCGGTAGAAATCATCGTCTTCGCTCTTGCGATTCGGACGATAATACCTTGATTATGGGCAGACGTATTAACAAATTGTGAAGATATATATATAGTATAAAATACTTTTCAACTTTTTTATGAAAAAAAAAATTTGAATTGATTTGTTATTAGTTGTTATTAATTATTGTACTTTTTTTTTTATGAAAAAATTGAATAGATTTGTTATTAGTTTCTTTGATGTTTTTTTTTTTTTTAAGCTATACACTAATAAAAAAAAAAGTTTAAATTGCCTTTAATTTTTATGCGTGCCTTTTTTTTTTATTTGACTGTATTAACTATATATAAAAAACCAATTTCATAAGTTGATCCTAAAACTATTAAAGCATGAGTTAAAAAAAATGATGATTTGGTATAAAATCAATCTTGCTACAAGTTTGGCAAGGAAGTCAATTACGAATTGAATTATTTAACAAATTTCATTTATAAGTATACGTAGCAAATTTTATTTATGTTTGACCAAATATTTTCTTTATAATAATAAAAAAATATTCAAACTGTTCAAAATAAAGAAAGTAGTATTAGCCTGTGTTGAGAATTCAAACTTCGTGTGTTCTCGATTTTCTTAATTAAAGAATCATTAACGTTAATATAACAACAACGAAGGTCAAGATACGAATTTCTAATATTTCTACGATTTTTTATTTGTTTTTTATTTTTATTAGAAGTGAAACTTATTTGAATGAAACATCATAATTATATCATTTTTTTTGCAAACATTTATATACAATTCGGATATTTTTTGAAGTTAATTTTCTTAATTTCTACAATTAGTCAGTTTTCTATAATTAGCGAAATTAATTTTTATAAGTGGCGAAATTATTGTCGAAACTATTTGAATTCTTAAATCAAATACATTAATGTAATTATTTGTAAAAGTTCATGTAAAAAATATGGCAACGGTGAAATTTTTTGCAAAATTGCTTTTTTTAAAAAAATACTTTAGATAGACATCCATGTATAACATTGTATTATCCTTCTTAAAGTTTTTCTTTAACAGGCCAATCGCGTTTAACTATTTTCTTCGTTAAGAAAAGTTTCCAAATTTTCAATAAACTTTATTGCTATAAATTATTTCTATTAATATATAAAAAATATAATCAACTCTTTCTATGACGAACTGACAGTTCCGAAAGAAAAACAATGTTCGTTATAGAAAATTACTATGTCTTCTTAAGGACCCATAGCACTTCTATTTGAGATGGTGATCGATCAAAATTTTTTGATTTTCATATGATCGATCGTTCGTGTTCGGTCATGCTTGGTCTTTTTTACTTATCTTTAAAATAGAACAACGTTTTGAATTAAATTTAATGATTAATACATTCAGTTCTTGCCATGATGGAATACATTAACAAAAAATTTAGCAAACGATAAGATTAAGTAATTAATCACCGAGCGATAAATCATCATCTCTAACTTCCATATCGAACTATTATGAAAATTTAAAATTCTGAGTTAGTTATATTCAGAGCTCGTACATAAAATCCAAAGTTGACTGTATAAATTAGCTTGTATAATAATAAAATCAATAAATATTACCTTCACTAGTATTTCTTTCAATTCAATAGCTTTATCATTTGTAATCTCAACATTACTGGCACTTGAATCATATTACTGTAATTTAAAAAATTTATTGTCAAAATCTAAAATCAATAATACATATTAAGCCATCGAAACTATAAATTTGATTGAATTTAAACCGTACCTGATTTTTTGGGCGACGCTTGGTTCGTGACCGGTTCCTTATGAAAAACCAGTAAACCTTCTTTCGGGGAGGGGAGAAAAAACCTGAGGATCAAAAAGGATTATGAAACTAACTAAGCGCACCACCGAATTCGCCGACACCAGCGACGAAAGAAGCACCACCTTATTCGACGACACCAACGACGGAAAGAACCACCGATACCAAAAAACAAGACGCGTACATTACATCTGTATATACACAATTTAAATTGTTTTGATTATTACGTTAAGCTGCTCGATACGATAGTATCGAGGCAGCTTTTGTAACTCATACAGGGGGATCCCCAAAATTCCGGGTCGAAACCATCGGATTTAGCCCGGCATTTAGTTAGAATTTAGTAATACAAGTTAACCATTTTTAGGCCAAAATTATCAGCTGGGCAGCTTTACTTAATGAGTGAGCTATGGTTTCATTAGTAAAACTTTTAGTGAT